ATATATAAAATATGTATTTATATATAACATTTTTTCCAAGGATAACAAAGACATTGTCATATGTAATGAATATGAAATTATTTGTCACTTATTATAAGTTCATTTTTAATTATCAAACGACATATGATGATATCCTATATTTTTTTTTGTTTTTTTGTTTTTTACAAAAATACGGTTCTAAAATTAATAAAGATTATTTTACCTATGAATTTCGTGCCGAAGGCAATTGCGTTAGTCGAGGCTGATTCTATAATGGCCGCGAACAGCGAACTACATGCATTAATTGCGCCAACTTGCGTATACGAGCTTCGTCAACCGATTGACGAAAGCGATTGACGCTTTTATTAGATCGATTAGACGAAGATCGAACTAGCTACCACTAATGGTAACCGCAACGCGATCGTACTCGGATATTTCTCGAATAAAGATTGTGAAATTGATCACCCGACACCGCGTTTTCTTCCTTCTTCCTTCCTAGCAATCTGAACTTATCTGAGTTACGCGAATCGTAGAAAAAACACGCTGATTGGATGACGCCGGTATCTAATAAAATAATTACGATACAATATAATGACGCCAAAGTACTTTTTCCTCCCCGACGTTGTAAATATTCTCGAAATTGGAATTTTTTTGTTCCTCGCTCGTATTTATTTAATAACAGCAATAAGTCTGTAATGTTTGTTTACAAGAATACGGCCAAATTAATACCAGAATTAATAGAACGAGATATCTCACCTTGGAGCTTTGTGCCGAAAACAATCGCATTAATCGCGGATTGAATGGCGGAACTATATACATTAGGAATTTCCCTAACTACGAGCCTTAACCGATTTGATCGATGCTTCATTAAAATGAACGAAAATCAGACTGCTATTTAATAAGAAAACGATGCTCGGTCTCGATTTTCGATTTCGCAAAAACAACGCGTCCGATCGAACCAAAAAATCACGACAAATCGCGATCACTCACTTCTGCCAACACAATTTTCGTTTTGCACGTATATATTACGTACATATTACGTACAAGCACGCTGATTGGTCGACGCAATTGTGATGTTTACAGTTCAAAGGCGCAATTTTCGATTCAAATTATTCAATAATGTCCACTTTTGCCAATGTAGATTAACTTAAATTTCGATTTAACTTATTTTTTTTTTTTTTCTAGTTCTAAGAATTAGGAAAAGATAATCAAAATTAAAGTTAATCTGTACTGATAGAAACATTATACACGGATAAAATAAATTAAAATTCTTCAGAACGGGATTCCTTTACTGAATAAAAAATATCGATATATGCTAATTTCTATCTATCTACTCCTCACAAATATTCATTAAATCTGACAATTTTATAACTGATAAATATTGATGATATTTTCAACATTTTGTTAATTTTTTTGTCGAGAGCATGTATAAGAAATAATAGAATATCATAAACAAGAGCCTAAAATATATATACAAAGTAAAAAGTAAAAAATTAATAAATTTAAAAATAAAGTAAAATGATTGATCAATACATCAATAATTGTTTATGCGTTGTTTATGAGATTGAAGTGATCATGAGAGTAATCTGATCATTTTAGATTATTAGAAAATCAATCAATCAATCTGATGTCTCCATGCTAAATATTCTGAATATTCGAAATTATGACTTGAAAAAAGCCCAAATTAATTAAAATCTTCGTAAAGTGTTAGTGTGTTTTGCAGATATGGTTGCATTTATTTCATTTTTACAGGTCTCCACGACCTTCGAAATCTTTGGCGGTGCCGTTGCCTGTGGATCATAGTCCGCTGTGGACAGCTTTAACACACGCTAATGCGGTCTCTGCGGCGTTAGGGGACACCTAGCAGGAGGTGGAAGACGGCAGCTATATCAAAAGTCTCGTCCTAGATCTGCCAATCATTTACTGACCGGCCTCTCTGAAAATGTCTCTTGGAGCATCGGAAAGAAGTTGGACATCTTTACTCAAGCACTACCATATCGCGATAATGACTGTGTGAAATATCAGAAAAATATATAATGCTTTTATGTCAAGAGAAGTAAATAATAAAACAAAATTTACAACAAAATGATGTTCAAAAAGTAGAGCATCGTATTCCTTTCGTGTGAATGTATGCGTATATACCGCAACTAAACTTTATGACCAACGTGAAATTTTGTACTATTTGCTCGTAATATTTGCGAGTAGAGCTTTTTACACGATAGTTAAAATCTAAAACGTACGCGATCACTGTAGGAAGTAGCTGGTCTACAATACTAATATATTAGTGTAAATACAGATTTTTAATTAATGTACAAACGAAATTACATGAATAAAGTTATTATTCGTGACTGTATTATGAAGATTGATACTGTACATAAATCGTCGTTTCAATGTACGCTTTTATGAACATTCAACTATTCTATTAAACAAAAAATATAACATAACATGACATCTGCCTTCCTATATCAGATTGATGAATAGAATGATTTTCGACAGGATACGTAATAACAAATTTTACAAAGTTAATTTGCAATTATAGCTATATAAATAATTGACAATTACAATCCGGGTATTATGCGTCCTTTCTTTGCTGCCTTTTTCAATTTATTCTGTTTCTTTTCTTTCTTCTTTTTCATAATATTTTCTCGTCGCTTTTCTTGCCTTTCCTGCATAGATTTCTGTACATTCTCTATCCTGGAATTCCATTTATTTGCACTGTGTTTCTTTTTCTGTTCGTTCCGTTTTATAGTACGTTTCAGTAAATCGGGATCATCTTTAACCTGTCAAATAAATAATATAAATGCATTGAAAACATAGAAAACATTTATATATAAAGAACAAACAATGATAAACTCACAATATATATTACAATATAAAAAAATTAGCTAATACAAAAAAATGAATATAAGATATTTATAAAATAAAACCAATTATGTATTTTGTTAGGCATTGCGATATTAAAAAAGAAATTTTTCATATATATATATATAGAATAGGTGCAATAAGGTGAGTGCATACCTTTTCACCAGATGCTTTTGCCAATGCAGATTTCCATGTATCTTTCTCTCTAATGTCTTCAGCTTCTTCTTTATCTCCTAAATCTTCTAATTGCTTTAATTTTTCCTTTTTCTGTTGTAGTTGTTGTAACATCTTTTTAGGGTCATTCTGACTTTTAGGTAATTTCTTCTTTACGCCAATCTCAGAGAAGTCAAATTTGCTAAACACCATTTTACCTTCCGAATTGAAAACTGGTTTAGGTTTTGGCACTTTTGGTACTTCTTCATTTTCTGTCTTTATTTTACTCCCATCAACTGTATTTTGTTCTATCCTAGCAAGCTTTCTCTGTAATAAACGCTCTTCCTTCTTCTTCTTCTTCTTCAATTTATTTTTCAAAGTTTTCTTAAGAAGTTTCTGTTTGTAATGCAACTTCTTTACACCCTTCAATTCCTCCAATTTTGCATGTAATTCTTTAAAGGACTGTGCTCTTTTAGTCTTCTTGCCTGGTATAACAAAATTCTTCACTGAAATGGAAAATACAGTAAAAAATAAGTCAGCAATAAAATTCATGGCGAATAAAAATTTCTTTTAGTAAACTTTTAGTAAAAAAATGTAAATTTTCTTGAAACAAAAAATATTATCATTAAAATAATTACAATGTTACTACATCTTGTATATTACATATTAAAATAGAAATGTAGATAGAATATCATTGATTAGAATTGGATAGAGTGAATTCTGCAAGATTACCTTTTCTGCAAGATTATATTTTCAAATAAACAAACAGATAATACCTTTTTTTGTAGGTTCTTCTTCCTTCGTTGGATCATTTTTTTCAGCTAAATAAAAATATGAAATATATCCATTTAATTGTTGTTTTAAAAAATCCTTTACATATTTTAGAAATTATATTAATGAAAAATTATATCCACCGAATTCATGCGTCGACACGGGCATTATAGATAATATATGTGAAATAAATTGTTCCTCTTTCTGAAGCATTTTACGTATTTCTTCTTTATTAAATCCTTTTGACATTGTTAACTGCATCTTCTTCCCAAAATTCACGTGTACTTAACCATGTAAATAACTATGGTATAGGTTATGTTATGTTACCCAACATTACCAACCTTGAATATGAAAATAAAATAGATTTAAGATTCGCATTTTATATTTTTCTATGAATGTTAGTTAAAAATAAAATTAAAAACAGAAATAGAATCTTTTATCAATTCTTTTATTTTACATTTTGCAAATTAAAATATTTCTTTCAAAATTTTACAAACAAATTTTACATTTTGGGTTTCTATATACAAATTCTTTTGTTATGAATTTCTTTTATTTTTCTCTTTTCTCTTATATTCGTTATACGAATTTATTCTTGACATTCTGATTCTGTGCAAAAAACGCAACATCACATAATTAACGATGAACAGAAAAATCAAGGATACAGCATATACACATACATATGTCTATATATCTATATCTATATATGTACATATATATATATAATTTAAATATGTATAAATATATTACGTTCTATAAATAAATGAAAGGAAGAAGAAATAAAAGGAAAAAAAGCCAAAATACTCAATACAAAAGCATGCAAATTTTTACTATTAAAAATTATACATATCCTTATAAAAATTAATTTTGAAATCATTCGCATACTCCTCTTTAGTTTATTATCAAAATCAATTTTTATGAGATTATATTAATATATGTGTTATTGTATTATCAAATTATTTTAAAAATTATTTTAATACAATGCTTTTTAGACTTTCATGGCTGTTATCTTTAAAGATATAAGAGGATTTGCGAGTTATTACTGCGTTTTTTGTTCATTACTAATGCCATGAAACTTGCTATTCACTTCATCAGATACATATCAGTGCACTTCTCGTTCTGATGAAGTGAACGGTAAGTTTCAATAGTTTTGAAACATTGGCATTAGTAATGAACAAAAACACAACGATGATCCGTAAATCCTTACATTTTAATATAAATCAAATAATTTAATTATATAAAAATATTGATAACAATATTAATAGCAAAAGAGAAGCTTACAATAATTCGACATATAAAAGATAAAATTATGTAAATGCTTCATTTATCAAACGTGATTCTCGTAAAACAATAAGGTTTTTTCCAAATAAATCAAAATTATCAAATTCTTCTTCAACAGCTACCGCATCTTGTACAGTTTTAAAATAAATGTGACAATATCGTATATTAGTTTTGGAAATTGTCTTTACAACTGTCGCTGAAACTGGACTAAATTTCTCAAACAAATGTAAAATGTAATGTACACCATAATTTTGATGAATATTAGCAACAATTATATCTTGCATTGGAATATACACAATTTTAGATGAATTTGTAGTCTTGTTTAATGTAGATGTCACATCAAATTCTTTCGATTTCATTTCTGTATCAGAAACTAACATTGGCATTTTCTGATCATGAATGCCAAATCGCCTATTTTTATCGATTTTGCTATCTGTCTCAGTCTTCATTGAAGGATATAATTTACTATCTTCTTGTTTTTTTCTCATTACTTGATTATAATCTTCATTATTAATGGGATTTTGTTGTTCTGGAAATGAATACAATTCATCAAATGATTGAAAACCTGCATTCTTCTGTTTAATTTCATCTGCATTATATTTATAATCGTGCCCTGAATTGCGAGCAATATCTAAAAAATTGTTTCCTTGGAATTTATTCGAATCAAAATTTCTTGAACTGTAAAATGGTTTGCCTCTATATTCCGACAATTTTTCCTGTTTATTATTCTCATGATGAGTAGAGTTTGAATCAAATTGTTCATCAGTGCTAAACATCTTTTGCGAAGTATCTTCCATCTTTGCTGCCTGCCATTGATTCGAACTATTTTGGTTAGTTGCTTTTGCTTCACTTCCCAATTTATCTTTTTGTGGTAACAATGATATCTGACTATCATTTTGAAGACCTTTTAAACAATTTATCACTTCATCTAATGTTTTATAACTTATGATTTTCAATCCATTGGGACCGCCTCCTTCATATATGGATACAACAGTTCCATAAGATGAAAACGTATCTTTTATATATTCTGAGGATAATCCTTTCTTATTTGCAAAATGTACGCTAAAACCTCCGTCTTTTGTAGTTCTATAGTACTTTTCATAATCCATTGTAACTGAAGAGTTATTCTCCTTGGAAGTTTGTCTTGAAAACAATGAAGATTTTTCATCGAACACTGATGAATTTTCTTTAGTTACATTTGAAATAAATTTATGATTATGTATAGAATTTTGAGAAGTATTTAAAATGTCATTAGATCCATTATTTTCATTGAAAATTTTATGAGTGCTGTTTCCTCCATTATTTGACAAGTTTTCACCATTGAAATCTTTTCTATTCATCTTTCTATCCTTCATTTTACTTTTTTCTAGCAATAATTGTATCTTACTACTATCTTGTAAACCTTTTATACAAGCTATTGTTTCATCCAAGGTTCCATACTTAACAAATCTAAATCCAGTTTCATCCTTAGTAACATTTACACCTAAAACATTCCCATAAACTGAAAATATTTGCTTTATCTCATATACAGTGAGTTTGTCCTTGTTCAAAAAATGTAGATTGTAAACTCCCTCTGGATCTTCTTTAATGTACTTATCAAAATCCATGATATCGAATAACAGATTTATTAATTATATATATATATTCTTCAGAACTCTTTTAGTTCTAAAATTAAGTTAAGTTAGGTTTAGATATTAAGCATAAATTACAAATAAATCCACTCAAATTCGGCTAAATTTTCAGTCTTTTAATGCTTGATGTACAGTCTTGTGTAGTTTTTTCACCTAAAATCATTTAATAAAGTTAGCATTAAGGCATTTTTTTCTTTTATTTTATTATAACCTTGATAAAAATTTGTCTCAGAATTTTTCATCTAATGTTTCAGAATTTCTATATAATTTTTCAAAATTTGTAATTATAATTTTATAGCTTCCTCGCATTTTTTATTGGAAAAATCTGAAAAAAGATGCAGAATTTCAGAGAAATGTTCCAATTCATATAAAAATTATAAGAGAAATTTTCACCAAGGAATAGTCTCTTTTTATCTTATTATCTAATAAATAAATGATTCTCACCTGATGTTACAAAATACAGCTTTTTCATAAACAATACAGCAACAATGTTTTTGGCCAATACATGGGACAAGCAGGATACCTAGGATCCACAGAACAACGTGCAAACACTATTTCAAATTATTATTTGTTAAACAAGCATGTATTACACGTGTATCTAATCAGAAATTTTGCCATTTAGAAATTATTATATATTTGAGATGAGATCTTTTCTGTTGTTTTATACCATCATAATACATGTAAACACTTTATTCTCACAAATATTGACAATCAAGAAGATTATATGTTTAACAATCAACAAGGCTCAATTACATAAAAAATTGTGTTAGATCGACTCTTCCTCCTTCTTTCCCCAAAAAAATGGCCCAATCTTTATCAATTATCAATAGGTAAACAGGAAAACTAGGGTCAACAATAAACCAACTAGAAACTTCGAGTAATCACCAATCATCGACAATCATAGATCTAGAACGATCTAAGTAAAGCTTTATGGATCCTTTCTTGATGAAAAGACAGATAAGATCTTTAAGTATGACTCGCCAGTAAGATGCATATCCTGCAATCAATCAAAAGTGTTCCCAAATGTACTTTATGGTTAGTCACAATGCGCGAAATTCAAATCAACTATTTCTTAATCATATCAATAATATTATTAGCTTGTGTATTTAATATAGATATTGTCATAATTTATTGGTTAAGTCTTTTTAGTTCAGTTAGAAAGCTATAAATTATATTTACATTAACAGTTTATTGATTTTCTTGTATTATTATTTAATATTTTAAGGGGCTTGGAATTTTTTTCTGAAAAAAACGATTATAACTATCAATTTTAGTTTTGGACATATATTTTATTTCTCACTTCATATAGTATGTATGAATTTTAATGAACCAAAATATGTATACAATGTACAATGGCAGCAAATGTGTCAATTGAGGTTTTTTAAATTTACTCACATTGTAGAAAGAAAACAATTTAACACATTGATCTACACTTTTTACAATAATTACAACTATTTTTTTCATATGATAAACCTAAAAAAATAATAAATTTTTCAAAATAATAATAGTTTTTTGACAATTTAATAAGAAAAAAGAACTTTTTTTTTCAAAAAAAGAATCTTTTCTTTTATAAAGGAGTAATTGTAACAAATTGTGATTTTTTTTTAAATTTTGTTAAATTTATTGTATATTTACATTCATTATTAATTACAAATCAATTCGATTTTTTTTATTTCAGACTATTAATTGTGGCTGCACAATGTCAGCAATTTGACAAAATCTCATTTGCTCGAACATTTTGATTCATAAAAATTCATACATATTGTATAAAGCG